ATCAATAATTGATCATATTTTGACAATCAAATAAGAATGTAAAAACACGTTTATCAAACTTCCCCAAACTTGAATTATTGTTTGTCCTCAAACAACAATATAACTCAATTTTATAAACAACATGATTTAACAATATGCAAAGTCTCAGTTTTGAAATATAGTAGTTAACAAATGAACAATTACAATAGTGCAAAAATTAAATCAGTCTCTACCTGTTACATACATAACCTGACGAATGTGTGTGTCAAAACTCATGTTAGCATATTAAGATTGTGAATGGTTCAACACTTGTCCCAAAATAGTCAAATACATCATTTCCTCACTCGAAAGATACACACACCCCCAAACTTATGATTTTCACTCATTTTACACAGGGTGCATCTTAGGTTCAACTTTTCAATTCTATTCAACTTTTCAACTGGAAGCATTTCGTCGGGCCTAGGGGCTCTATAGACATAGCGATCTACCCGCTTATATTTTTTATAGTGACTTTTCCAATTTGGATGGGGAGTTGTATAGACTGTAACATTGTGGGATGTTAAGAATCATCTTCTTGCCCACGGCATCATGTCTATCTCAATATTTTGGCTTGAAGATCTAGTGGATTCAATATTGCGTTTTGGGGGAATTGAGTGAAAAACTTAAAATTTGGCCAAACGAGTTAAAATATTTGACTCGAAAAGGACTTGGCCAACCGCTAGACGAGTGAGGGTTGAAGCTATAGAGCATTGGGAGTGGGAAGGCATACGTGGAACACACGACACAATTAATCATGGAATAGGAGCATGCCACCAGGTACCTATAAATACCTCAATGTGGGAAAATGTATTTCTTTTTGAAACCCGAACTATTTGAATTCCAATACATTCTCTTTCTTTTCTCTTAAATTGTATACTAATTCTCACGTCTGAGGTATAATGGAGAAAGGAGCCCCGACCTCATTTCGCAGGTAGCAAACACTGATCGGAGCAGCCGGAACACCATCCACGTTAGGGAGGACACATAATTTACCTCACTAATATTTCAGATTCTTTTTTTTTTTAATAAAAATTCAGATACTATCGTGATGCTCTCAAATTCATATTCACTATATCCCTCGGAAACCTTGGAATTATATTAATTATACACAATTAAATTGTTCTATGACTAACCCAGCCTAAATTTGTTTATAAGATGGTTGACTTAAGCTGCATTTACCATTAATTGATAAAAATACACGATCACATAACATGTATTTTGTAATAGTGATTTTTTGAAGCACGTGGGGGTTAAGAAGTAGGGAAATTTTTTGAATTTACGCGTAAAATTATTTTATTGGAAGAATATGTGATTGAAAATGAATTTGAGAATAAATAATTTTTTGTATCATGGCAAACAAGGACTAGATTTTACTAATTGGATCTAAAATGGTAATTGAATTAAATATTTTTATTTTTATTTTTTGTCCAGAACCGTTTAATCTGCTGTGGAGACGATCAAATATGCATGGTCCTCTGGACCCCACGCTGCTATGCCATTAGGGACATGCTATTCGATTTTAGATTCAAAAAACAAATTAAAAGGGTGGGAACAGCTTTACTCAGTCGAGATGACTCTTACAAAAGATGGTAACTTGCGAAGAAAATCGTGATGACGACTATTTAATAAGAAGTATCAAAATATGGTGATTCTGTTAGATATATCATTATTACATATCTATGTGAGTTGTGATTGTTGCATTCTTATTCTTTGATTCCACAACATGAAGACTTTCATTTCGCCTCTGTTTGGCACATATTAAAATTTGTATTCTCATTCTTCTACTCATTTTCAACCACACATTCTTCAATAAAATAATATTTTTCATCACATCAATAATTTTTCCTTCTTTTTTAACCGCACATTCTCCATTAATCTACTATTTCAGAATATATTCTTCAAAAATAATGTGGCTCAAACACACCCTTCATATATTTGCGATAANGCGAAGAAAATCGTGATGACGACTAGTTAATAAGAAGTATCAAAATATGGTGATTCTGTTAGATACATCATTATTACATATCTATGTGAGTTGTGATTATTGCATTCTTATTCTTTGATTCCACAACATGAAGACTTTCATTTCGCCTCTATTTGGCACCATTTCGCCTCTATTTGGCACATATTAAATTTGCATTCCCATTCTTCTACTCATTTTCAACCACACATTCTTCAATAAAATAATATTTTTCAACACATCAATAATTTTTCCTTCTTTTTTAACCACACATTCTCCATCAATCTACTATTTCAGAATACATTC